AAACAAAACAAACTAATCTCATGTCCCCATGATGTGGCAGTAGAGAATAGATCAAAAGACATCAGACAGAGGAGTTCGGCAGGGGGCTAAAAGATGGGGAAGATTTTCACATTCAGAGGCCTGGGAGAAAGGATCAGGCAACTTGCTGACAGACAGAGAAGGATACACATGTTTTCTCTATATTAATATCAGCAATGACTCAAGACATTTACCATCTTATTCAGTGGCTTATCCAGCTTTGAGCCACCTCTTCCTCCTTTGACTATGGGAAAGGCAGGCATTGTCATCCTAGCTCCAAAGTTCTGCACCCCATCCCACATCACACCATCTGTGCATAAATATTCTAAAGCATGTAATTCAATTCATTTCCTTCAATATGCATTGAGTCCTTTGGGGATTGATGGTGCTAGGTGCTGATGTACAAAAGGCAAATCTGGAGAAGGAACATGCCTCAACTGTATAGTGATGCTAAAATGAATGACTTTCTAGGAAGGCACCTCTGTACTCTCATGTTACTTAGCTTTGAGACCCACAGTGCTCTTTCTTCACTGGGTTTCTTTCTTTCCTTCTTTCCTTTTTACTTTCTTCCTTCCTTTAACATTTAACAATAAAAAAGCAGCATTTGCCACACTAAGCCTCCAGAAGAAAATATAATAAAAAATGTGAAAGAAATCCATGTTCAAACGTTGGCAAGTTTCACTGGGTTTCAGAACATTCATTACAGCAATCCTTGATTTTGTGGGTTTTATTGGTAACAAGTAATTTCACTCTACCCTGTGCTTTCTCTTGCTGGAGTCTGCCATTTGATGTCCTGCAGACCTTCCCTCTCACAATAAGGTGGTCTTAATTGCAATCACACCTATGCTCTGGGATCCTTTTGGCTTATAGCCCGTGTCTGTGACCACCTACACTCACTTCTTAGGGATCTTTTTTGAATTCTTTTCTAAGCCCTGTCTTGCTAACAACTCAGTTGGGTGTTTATTGCATTTAGTGTAACACAGGAATCTATGTGTGTATGTATGAATCTTTCTGCCTCAACTCTCAGAGAATTTGAGACAGTGCCAGCAACATATAAATATGCAAAACGACAAAATAAGAATCTCACAATCTATGAACCTAAGGGAAGGAAAATACCAGACTAGATCCAGCATAAGTCAGTTGTGTATTATGAGGTCTATAGATTTGGAACTAAGCTTCATCCCTGACCAAGGCGAAGAAAGAAAACGTAATACAGAGATTCACAGGGGCAGAAAGTTCAGGACAAGCTGGTTGCTATGACGAAGTGCAGCTTTTCTGGATGCTAGGCCTTGGAAGAAATCCTTCTAATGAGAAGTGTATTAGATGATTCTGTAAATATCATATGAACGTTATCTGATACTTTATTATAATAGACCTTAATGTAGGCTGAAATCGTGACACTCAGGGGTAATTTAGTTTATGCCAGGCTGGAGGGACCCAGCCCTTATTCTCAGTTTTGTCAGTCTCCTCTATTACAATGAGGACTTCTTAATTCTATTGCGATCTGCCTAGGGTCGCCTCCATTTAAGGTAGCAATATTAAAACAATTCATTTCTATGAGAAACATTTACATTTCAAAGAAAAGTTCTTTGGGATTTGCTTGTTCGTTTGTTTAGACACAGGGTGTCAAGTAGCCCAGGCTGACTGACTTGCTATGGAGATAAAGATAACCTTGAATCCTGCTACTTCCACTTCTCAAGTGCTGGTGCATACCATCATGCCTGGTTTGTGTGTTGCTGGGGATCAAACCCAAGTCTTCATACATGCTAGGCAAGCTCTCTACCAACTAAGATACAACCCTCTTTGTGAATTAAATGAGATAACAGAAGATTAAAAAAAAAATCAAGCTTAGCACAGTACCTGGTATACAGTAGGAGATTACTAAATCTAAATTTCCATATTTTAAGGTACTGTGATGAATCTTCAAAGAGGATAAATGTAGTGAGACAGCAAATTGAGATCAAGACCTTGGAATCAGGAAAACATCTCCTTCACAGACTTGTCTGATGTGAAATTAGGATGATAACCAGTGAATAAATGAGTGCGATGAAGAGAGTATAGCCAGGTGGTTGGGTTTAGATGTGTTGATATGAGTGGCCAGGAGAACTTCTCTTAACCAGGAGGAGCTGACAATGGAGTGACAGAGAAGATTCTGGGATAGGATATTCCAGGAAGAAAACCCAGCAATACAATGGATGGGAACGAATGGGGTACATGTGGACTACCATGTCAGAGCAATAGGAGAGAGGCAGGTGGGGGACAGAGCATGTGGGATCTTCTAAAGCAATTCACTTCAAACTATCTCTGGTAAGGAATTCTTGAAAAGCAGTTTTAAGAGCAGCATGCAATCTGAATGCACATGACTAGCTTACAGCTTCTGCCCCATGATTGTCTGTGCAAATGTGACCCTCCACCTGCATCCTGAGACTACTCATCATGTGCTTGAATGCGTGGCAATGCCAAGTTTTAAATGCCAGCTCTCACTTTCTGTCCTTAGAGTGCAAATCTTGATTCACACCAGGAACACACCATGATCTGCTGACCAAACTTTGAGCAGCACATGGAATGACAATCAGTTTCATTCCAAGTGCTTTGGAAAACATTTATGGGGAAGGAAGAAAGAGAAGAATCATATTCAAGGACTTCCAGGGCCTGGAAGATAGTTCAGCTTGCTGAGGCACTTGCTGTGAAGTCTGAGGACCTGAATTCCATCTTAGGGACCCACATGGTGGAAGGAGCGAACTGACTTCCTCATACTATTTCTCTGACTTCCACACACATGCTGTGGTATGTGCACAAGCATAAACACCAAATAAATAAATAAATAAATAAATAAATAAATAAATAAATAAATAAACAAACAAACAAACAGATAAATATTGGCATGTGTGTAAGTACACCCATGATGTGCAATGCCCCTGGAGGCCAGATGAGGCTGTCAAATTCCCTGAAACTAGAGTTAAGGACTATTGTGAGCTGCCATGAGGGTATTGTATCCCCTAGAACTGGAGTTATGGACGGTTGTGAGCTGCCATGTGGGTTCTGGGAACTGAACCCAGGTCCTCTGCAAGAGTGGCCAGTGCTCTTAACCATTGAGCCAACTCTCCAGCCCCACAAAATCTCTTTTAAAAAGGTAAGAGTATCAAGGACCATGGTGGTGTTTGGTCTAAAGTACTAAAGAGGACAAATGATAGGAGAGACCAAAATTCTGTTTTTAACATATTAAGCAATAGTGGACTCAGCCTTTGAGGGGACTACTCAAGGAGGAAGTTAGGCATGAAGCTGAGGTTCATAATTGCCAACAGGGCCAGAGCAGTAATTCTGGATAGTTGTGACAACTTGCATGTAAAGCCTCAGATGAGCTGCATTATCTGGTGTGTGTTGCATTGAAAGAGATACTGCAAGACTTAGACCCAGGGACAATCTTATGGGAGAATTGCTGATGCCATCCGTTTCAGTGTCCAAGACATTTGATTCTGACATTTTCAGAACTTCAAAGCCTCACAAAACACAGACTAAAATCCCCTGGCACAAAATGGCAGTCAGACATACATGGATGATATGAACAAGGTCCAAAATGCCCTTCCAACCCTGATGTATTGCAGTTCTAATATAGTTAAGCTTCTTTCCATCGATGGTGATGTCATAAGTTGAAAAGTGGCCCCACAAAACATATATTACTGTTCCAGAAAATGTGATTTTATTTTTAAAAAGGATTTTTTTGTAAAGTTATCTTAACCTGAGACCATTCTAGGTTATTCCAGTGGGTTCTTCATCCTGTGACCAGTGTAAGAGACCATTATAAGAAATGGATGCAGGAAGAAAATGAAGAGGAAAAATGCCCTGTGACTGTGGCAGAGGTTGCGGTATGGCACACTCAAGTTGGGGACACCAAGGACAGCCAGCAGCCACCAGAGGCTGGAAGGGACAGGTATTCTTACAGAATGGCAGATTGCTAAAACAAGCCAGTCCTGCTAGGGCCTGAATTTCAGAGGTCAGGCCTCCAGAACTGTGAGAGAATAAAGGTCTTTTTTATGCAGATTCGTAGTTTGTGGAGACTGCTTACAACAGTACGAATGCACCTGGTCTCTCAGCACTGCAAACCTTCATCTGGAGCTGTGCTTTATTCTCACACTCTGGCCTGCAACTCTGGCTGTGTAGTAGAACTAGGAAGAGGGCTTATAAAAATGCTGATATGGGCCTGGGGAGAGGGGTTATTCAGTAAAGTGCTTGCTGTGCAAGCATGAGGACCTGAGTTTTGAGTCCCTAGCACCCATGTAAAAAGCTAGACATGGTAGTATATGCCTGTAGTTCCAGTGCGGGGGGGGGGGGGGGGGGAGGAAGAGACAGGTGGCTCCCTTGAGCTTTCTGACCAGATACTCTAGCCAAATGAGTAAGCTCCAGGTTCAGTGGGAGACCTTGTCTCAAAAAATAAGGTGGAAAGCGACTGAGGAAAACACTTGATGTTGACTTCTGACCTTACCCGTATATGCAGACAGGTACATGTGCATACATCCCAACACACACCATATGTACACATACATGCATATACATGTGCACACACACACACACACACACACACACACACACACACACTGCTAATGCCCTGGACATACCATCAGAGATGCCAATTCAATGGGGCTGGGGTGTTGATGATATTTGTGCAGAATCCAGAGAGAAGAACTCTCATCAAGTTAGCCACAACTTAGTATCACAGGGCGTCACAGAAGCGCATGGATAGAAATACCCGTGTGCTTTCCCACCCCCCTTTTTTCCCCACTATGAGTTTTAATTGAAGACATTAAAACAGTTTAATGACTCATAATGAAATTAAAACTTTGATAGCTAAATTGGCCTATTCAAGCCAGGTGTGGTAGGATATCCTGTAATCCCAGCATTTTGGAAGGCTGAGGCAGGAGGGTTGTGAGTCTGGGGACAGTCAAGGCTACGTAGTGTAAACCTATCTCAAAAGTACATTAAACAACAACAAGAAACGCTTCATGAACTTTCATGTCATCCTTGCATGGGGGCCATGCTAATCTGTGTATTGTTCTCATTATAGTATATATGCTGCTACACTGTGTACTTTTCTTAGCCTGGAGAGTTTCTTTGAAATTTGATACTAGGTATCTTTATGTCTGTATATGAGGTATTCTTAGAAATGGACTTGAAGAAGCTAGAGAGATGGCTCAGCGGTTAAGAACACTGGCTGCTCTTGCAGAGAACCCAGGTTTGGTTCTCAGCACCCACATGGCGGCTCATACCTGTCTTTAACTCCAGTTCCAGGGGCTCTGACATGCAGGTGGACTCATATATATGCAGACCAAACACTCATACACATAAATTAAAAATAAATAATTTGAAAAATATTTTATTTTTATTATTTATATTTTTGTGTGTGTGAGTGTATTGTCTGCAGGTAGGTAGGTGCAGCTGTGTTATGCAGTGCCGGCAGAGGTCAGAAGAGGGCGTTTTATCCTGGAACTGGAGTTACAGAGGTCTGTTAGCTGCCATGTTGGTGCTAGAAACTGAACCTAGGTCCTCTGCAAGAGCAGTTAGTGCTTTTAACCACTGAGCCATCTCTTCAGTCCCCCCAAATAAATAAATTTTAAAGAATGAACAAAAGAAACAGGCTGCAACAGTTTCATGTCAGTGGTCTGCATAGATCTTATGTCTTATGACTAAGACAGCCCTGTTTCCACCATGGTGGAATAAATGGATGCTGACAAGTGACCACCATTGTCCATGTCCACATTCTCCCTGTGGCCCCCAGAAGCACGTGGGGGCGTTACTTTCCAGACTGAAGCTTGAAGCTTGATAATGCCTAACTGTAATACAAATCAGAAAATTTCCTTACAAACCCTCCCTGCAACTTGCCCCACTGCCTCTCTTGTAGTGAGATGACGACAATTGTGAATTCCTGGTGCATGCTACTCCAGTAAATTAAAAAAAAAATGTGCTGCATGGATGTGCTGGATGGGAGAAGAGTAAGCTATTATTTCCAGGCAAGAGAATTCGAATTGTGCAACAAAGCCGTTCCTTGTGCGCTGGCCCTAAATAAACGTTTCTTTATTTTGGAAGCTGCATGACCCCCTATGGTGGCCTCTCACGCGCGTCAGTGAGCAGTCATGAGGGAGCAGTAGTTAGCGATGTGCTGGTCTGTAAAGGGCCTTTGACGGAATGCTCACTGCATCTATTGACGCTCTGGGAAGTCTGAGGTCACAAGCTTGGCTGGGGCACATGGGCCCAATAAAGAGGCCGGTTTTGCCCTCCTGACACAAAGCCAGACACTTTATCAGCTGCATTGTGTACCTCAGATCATGTGCTAAGGATCAGGATTCTCTAGTTATAATCCCCCTAATGACGGCTTCTCCCAGCCCTTCCCCAAACCCCACCAGGCCCCGTGGCTTGGCAAGCCAGACAGAATAAAGGCAGCACGGTGCTTGGCTTTTGAACTGAGTTCAAGGCAATTAAAGTCAAGGGCTAAGGAGAGAAGGAGGAGGCTCAGAAATACCAGCATAATAAGCAGTATGGCTGGAGCGTTCTGTAAATTAACTCAATTAGACAAAGCCTGATTTAACGGAGAAGACTGGCAAGAAGAGTCGGCCTCATTAAATTCTCTGTTAGAGGCGCTTCTAATGAAATTAAATTTGTGTTAGTTGTTTGAGTCACATAAAATAGTGTGTGCACGGGCATGTACACACGTGCACACCTTTAGGTGCTGTGATTTAGGTAGGTATTTGAAGAGGAGAGTGGAGAGAGATAGAACGCAAGAAAAAAAGAAAAAGAAAGAAAGAAAAGACGAATTAGTCAATTAATGGTCAAGAACTCATAGGTGGAAAACAAGGAGAAAAGTCTGACAGAAAACTAGGGTGGAAAGCCTGGGCAGGTCCCCCTTTTAGGAAGGCATGGGCCCTGTGCACTGGGGGCTTCTGCTGAGTTGCCTGGGCTGCGGAATCCTGCCTGGAACCTGGGCCCAGTTCCCCAGGGTCTGCATGACCTTGGGGGGTGTGCTGAACAAGGAGTGCTGCCCACCTCTGGGCACCGAGCCTGCCAACATCTGTGGCTCTCAAGAGGGCCGGGGACAGTGCACAGAGGTGCTGACAGACACCAGGCCCTGGAGCGGCCCTTATGTCCTGCGAAACCAGGATGACCGTGAGCAATGGCCGAGGAAGTTCTTCAACCGGACTTGCAAGTGCACAGGTGAGGCCCTTGGGCAGATCTAGCCCTCTGAGTTTGAGCTTCGTGGAGGGTCCCAGCTTGAGCAAACAGGCCCTTCCGGTAACGGACTGTTAAGCTAGCTTTGCAAGGCAAGCTAGCTGTTTCCGGTGGCAAGTCTATTCTGTAAGACTCACGACTTAGTTATCTTTCACACCCTGTAGTATACATGTCGTTATGAAAACTAGATCAGTATTACGTGGGCCAAGCCTGGGTTTCTGAACCCGTGCCAACATACCTTTGACTTGTTTGTTGGGAGGGAAGGCTAAAGAGCTGAGGAGCCTGCTTTGAAACTAGAACAAGTCCTTTCAAGATGGATGGGGCCTCTCCTGCAATGGGTTCGCACTTGCTGTAGAGCTGGGTGCGGCTTGGCATTGGGTGACAGGAGAGGAGACAGGTGCTCAGTAGTCCTGGCCTCAGCATTTTTCATGGTTTGAATAGACGGCAAGCAGGGACCATCTGCTTTATTCAAGCTGGGACTGGACTGTGACTTTGCCAAAGTCAGGGAGACAGGGCGAGGCAGCTTCCTTAGTGGGACAAGAAGAGGGCTGTTACTGGGGGGCAATAGTCTCCTTCCACCTGGTTTGATTTCAAACTGGGATTGTCAGATGTGCTCAGTGGCCTTCCTTTAGACTCTGTTCTCTCTTAGTACCTGTTCTTTTTTGTTATTTAAAATCTCTATGTTTCTTATTCTGACCTTCTGGGCTTTTCAAATCCTCCTCCGTCCAGCACCTATGCACAGCTATGATAAATGCTCAAAGGCTCGCAGGGCATTTGAAAAAAGAAATAAGCAGCAGCTTCATCAAAGCCTTGGACATCGGCCTTTGGTGGCTGATTGCATATGATTTTCCCTTCTGATCTATTTCTGACATCTGTTCTCATATATTGCTAAAACATAGAATATAGATCACTGAGGTGTGTTGAGTATGGAAAAGTATTACTAAGGGAAGGTACCAGACTTCTAAGAGCTGTGCTTTTTTAATTATTTCCTTATCATATATTTGTTGTTATGTTTGTAGTACTGGGAGATTGAACCCAGTGCCTTGTGAATGCTAGGCAAGTGCTCTAGCACTGAGATATACCTCCAGCCCTTGTAGTTAGATTTTTAATTAAGTGATTCGAGGGGCTTTTTAGGTCCTAATGTGGGAATGGAAACCACAGAGAACAGGTGACTAGAAGGCATACTCACTATTTCTCTTTGTTGAGGGAGTGCTTTGAATATTCCTCAAGAAGGGACAGAAATTTGGGCTTTCAATGACCTACTTGCAGAATGAAATAGGAACCTCTGTCCACAAGCCCCAGGTCTTAGGACATCTCATGTTCAGAGACTAGTTCCCAGAAGCAGGGTCTTCTCAGGGTGCATGGTGTCCTAGAGGAAATGACCTCCATCCCCAGACACCATCCACCCATGACTGCCCCTGAGTGTCCATCCTCCACCTGTGGTTTCTCTCCTTCCCATGATTTCCCTGTCTCCCACTCACTCAGGACCATTGCTCATTCCACACATGTGTGTTAAGGTTACTTAAGATTTGCTCTTCCTATAAATTTAATTTGGTAGATTATCCCCTTTTTTTTCTAGCTTTATTGTGTTATAATTGCCATACAAATTTTGCACATAATTACTACACACAGTTTAGTGAGTTTGAACATACGCATAGCCTCATGTCCCCTTTGCCACAATCAAGGTAATGAACATGTCTACCACCTCTAAACTTTTCCTTCCTTGTATTTCTTGCTGTTTTGGGTTTTGTAAGAATGCTTAACATGACCTTTAGCCTGTTAGCACATTTTAAGTATACAGTCTCTTCCATGCTGTGAAGCAAATCTCTGAAACTTGCTCATCTTCTGTCACCGTAACTCCACATTCATGAAACAGAGGCTCCACATTTCCTCTCCCCTCATCCCTGGTGACCACCATGCTCACGTCCTTTCCAGTACAGTTGACCACTTTGGATACCTCATTTAGGAGGAACCATACATTATTTATTCCGTGACCAATTAATTTCACTTAGCGCAATGTCTTCCATGTCCATCATGTATTGCAATTGGTAGATGATGATGCTTTTTCCTGCTCCTCCCATAACTTATTAAAAAAAATTTTTTTGCACTGCTGAGGATTATACTTGTGGTTTTGCACACATTAAGCAAACACTCCACCACTGAGCTACGTTCCCAGTACCCTTTCTTCTTTTTAAGCCTGAATAGTATTCCAGTGTGTTTCCATACTAACTTTGGATGGTTGAGGCACCTACGTCCTACAGACTGGAGACGGAAAGTTGCTTTGTGTGTATAGTTGTCAACCCCCACCCCCACTTCCCTTCCTAGGGTAGCATTTTCATAACTTTTGGGTAGTCTATAGAATTTAAATCTCACCTTGAGTGTTCCAAAGGCCCTCGTCTCTGGTAGTCTCCTAATTCATTTGCAAATGGAGCCCCTGGGATTTTCCTTGGCTATCCTGAAGTTTCTAAGGAGATAGAGATTAGCTTCTGGCCAACAGATGGTTGGTAACCCTGGCATTTATTGATTCATTAGGAAAATCATGACTCCATCTACTTTCTACAAGCATGAGGCTGGTAAGGTAACTTTTAGCCTCATAAATAAAAACAAATACAAACAAATTTATAAAGAAAAGAAACTCCTAAAGTCTGCGTGTTCCAATTCTCTATAGAAAATTTCTCTGTTCTCTGTTGGAATATGTTTAAAAAAACTGTTTTCACGGAACTTCATTGTCAGAAAGAGCTGCACTTCAGGACACTTTGCATTTGACATCACCATCTAAGGCTCACCTGCCACCTAGCATTTATGAGCAGATGTCAGTTGCAGCTGTGTCTCTGGGCTTTTGAAATCCTTGGGCACCAAATAGTTTTTGAACAGTTGGCTGAGAAATTCTTGTTTGTACAAGTAACTAAGTGCCTCCATTTTCCAATCTCTGAAATGGGAATCATGATGAAACCACACTTGTAAAATCTTTTTGAGCTCTGCAGATGAAAGGACTTGTGTGAGTATAAAGTATTGTCATTAAAATAATAGAATCCCTAATTAAAAGGAATAGGCTATTTAGAGTTCCTTGTAAAGTCACTAATCGGTGGTCGTTAAGCTTAGTTAGTCTAATAGCTTTCTGGGTTTGAGCCGGTGCTGTACGTGTAGGAACCTGTGTTTAGATGATTTCCCTCTCATCTTTGCAGTCCTAAGTCAGGAGAGGATTTTACCTCTTGAAGTTGAATATTTGCTCAAGGACAGACTGAATGAGAGATAGACTGGAGTCATCTATTCTTCCCCTCTCCCATTTCCTGGGTAAGAGACACTATGTTTTCTAACATGGTGTCACATTTCTTATTGCTCTTGCATGAAGGGAGAAGCAGCTTATATTAAACAGAGTAAGAGATGACCAGGAACTCTAAAGAAATGCACAGCATGTGTGCCAAGCGAGCATGTCATACCTTTCTGGTTGTTGTCTACATTTTGAAAAATTCTTTGGGTCAGGGCTATCAGCTTCAAAACATACAGGACCTGGTGAACATGTAGAAATAAGATTTTTTAATTTACTAAATTTCTGGATCATAAAATAGGTCTATCAGATAAATAGCAACGAGTTGCTACATACTGCATTTGTGGGGGACTCTGGTTATATTATGGTTCCTCATTCACTGTTGTGGTGAACCAGCTCTCATCTTCTGAGTCAAGGTTGTTTTGCCTTTCATTGTCCCATAGAACTTGGTTGAGTTCTATTTTCACTTTTCCTGTAGTTAGATTTGTGTGGATATCTCATCCTGAACATGCCCTTCATTTCCATGGTATTACATCCGTGCCTTGTTGTCGTCGTAACGCGTGCCTAACATATGCCTTTTATTCATGTTTTCATGGTTTCTGTCATCGCCCACCACCAGACATTTATTTAGCACCAAGTACAGAAAGCCCTTTATGTGTAGAAAGAGGGGAAGATGGACATGATTTTAGGAATGCATAGTGTAGTGATAAGTGAGAGAGATGTTATGTGCCTTCTATGTTTTAGAACAAATTTTAGGTTCAGAGAAGAATTGAGTCAAAAGTATAAGGATTTCCCATGTACACCCTTCCATATGCTATTTGACCCCAAATCTCACAGGCCCCCAAATGTCAAGGGCTGTTTAGTTTTGGCGGCCCTTTAGGTTCCAGATGTTCAGTAAATCACTTGTATAAGTAAATGAGGAAGAGAACTATTGATGATTGTATCTCTACCAACCAGAAGAATCAGGATAACACAGTGTGATCTTGAATTACAGCATAAGCTATGAATAACTCAAGTTCAACGTCAAGACCTCAAGATTCAAAATTATTTTTGGCTTTTAATGTAAGAATGCATTGTATTTAATGTTATAAAATTTAGGTGTGTTATTTCTTACCATTTAAAATCTTTTTAGAACCATTTTAGATTCATGGCAACGCTGAACAGAAAGGGTTGGGAAGACGGCTCAGTTGATAAAGCATCTGTCATGCAAGCATCAAAACCTAAGTGGTTGATGCTACATCCAAAGTCAGGTGTGATGTGTGCTTACAACCTAGTGCTAGGGAAGCGGAGGCAGGTGAATCTTTGGAGCTTACTGACCAGCCAGTGTCGCTAGGTAAGCAAGCTGAAGGTTCAGCGAGAGACTGTCTCAAAAAATAAAATTGGCCAGGCGTGGTGGCACTCACCTTTAATCCCAGCACTTGGGAGGCAGAAGCAGATGGGTCTCTGTGATTTCAAGGCCAGCCTGGTCTACATAGTGAGTTCCAGGCCAGCTGGGACCACAGGGAGACCCTGTCTCAGAAAGACCAAACCAAACCAAACAAAACAAAAACTAGAAAGTGATTGAGGAGGAAACTTGACATTGACCTCTGACCTACATGTGTGTACACTCACGTGTGCACACCTATACAGACATTACACACACAAATTGAGCATAATGCACATACATACTCTGCCCCTATGCATTCTTCCATCCACTGCTGTCTACCTTCTGCCTCACACTGGCCTTGGTTCCTCTTCCACTGCAAGGAGATGACCATGCACTTACTTACCTCTAATCATTCAACCAGACTTTAGGAAAACAGCTGGAAGTTTGAGTGGATGCTCATGGGGGTAGTTAGTATTCTTCAGACATAGAATTTTATTCCATCATTTCTCAGTTACTGTAAAAGCTACCACAGTGGGTGATACAGCCTTACTTTCTTTTTTCTTTGATGGTGCTAGGGATAAAAACCAGAGATTAGCAAATGCTAAGCAAACACTGTACCACCAAACTACACCTCTAGGTCTTAGATGATGCTTTAAACAATTAAAATTAGATACTGCAGCATTTTAGCAAATTAGCTTCAGGGAAAATAGATTCCAAGTTCCACAGAGCCCAAAGCATCCTAAAGAGTTTATTGCTTTTTAGCCAATTGGAGCTGAGACGAGAACAGTTAGTGTACAAAAGGGCACTGCAAAGTGCTGTGAGAGCACAGCTTGGGCCCATCTGACCAGCTGGGATTCAGGCTGGGATGTGGCTTAGTGGTAGAGCACAGGCGTAGGGTCCATAAAGCCCTGGGTTTCATCCCACAAAGTAACCTTTCCCCACAGAAGACCATATAGAGAAGACCCATTGTAATGTTTAATGGAGGGGAAGGTAGGCCATACAAAGAGGAATTTAGGAAGACATGAAAAAGTGTTCCAAGCACAAGAAAGAACAAGTAAATTGCCCTGAGGGCATGAGGCCCAGACAGAGGATGAGCTAGGGAACAGATCACCAGCATTAAATGCTTCCTATCACCACTTTAATCTTTTGGTGATAAGCATTATTATCTTCTTGGGCGAATAAAACCTAAACTTTCACTCTCTAATGTATCACAGCCTAAGGAATGAGGTGCTAGTTATGCCCAAGGCTTTAAGGCACAAGGCTGAGAGGCGGAGGGAGGTTGTTTCGAGGCAGGTGCAGAGAGCTTACACTTAGCCCCTAATCCTCTGGGACACTTCTGAGCTCACACAGGAGTCCTTGTCCCCAGGATGTGATAAAGCAGGGTGTTTCTTTGCCCACAGCAGACTCTGAAAGATTTGTACCTCCCAATATCATGGCAGCTAATTCACTTTTACAATCTGCCAGCCACCATTGATTTTTGTCTTAACTGCTGTCTCCTTTGTGAAACAAACCAGCATTTTTAATGTTAGATACCACCAGAGTTCCTGGAAGTCAGCTAGTTTATTTATTAATTTTGATTCCATCTTTCTCTCCTCTCTCCGAGTCAATGACTGAGTCTGTGCCAGCCCAGTGGTGCCTGTCCCACAGACAGCAGAGCTCAGTCAGCAAAGACAGCCACGGCTGCTCAGCCCAGGTTGGAGCGTGGAGAGGACATTGGAAGGGATGGAAAAAGCAGAAGAGTTTGCTTGCTAGAACTGCCACAGTGAAGTGCAGCAGACTGTGGCAGAAAAGAATAGAAATTATTTTCTCCTGGCTTTGAAGATGGAAGTCTGAGAACAGGTGTCACCAGGGCTGGTGTCTCCTGAGACCTCTTCCTGTCCTTACGTGATCTCTCCTCTGAGTATATGGGGACACCAATCATACTGGGTTAGATGCTGTTCCAATGACCTCATTTTGCCTTAATTATCACTTTAAAAACCTGGTTTGTAAAACCAGGCATTTGCATTTTGAAGGGGGGGGACACAGGTCAGTGTTAACAGCAGCGAATGCATTTCATAGCCTCTTTGCTGGAATTTGTCTGGGGAAACGTCTAGTGCCTAGTCTACCTGGATTTTGAGAGGAAACAGAGGGAAGGAAATTGTCTCTCCCCCCCTTCTCCCTCCTCCTTTGCTTTAATGATAAAAAACTATTTCCATACAGTTGTGGAAGCTTGCCTGGTATGGTGGCACACGCCTTTAATTCCAGCACTCCCGAGGCAGAGGCAGGTGAGGTCAGCCTGCTCTACATATCCAGTTCTAGGCCAGCTGGGGCTACAGGGAGACCGTATCAAAAAGACCCAAAACAAGACCCAAAACAAAACCAAAAGCAGGTGTGGAAGCTTTAAGACAGCCCTCTGGAGACCTCTCTTCTTTGTTTTCTTCTGTGTCTTTGCATGATCTTCCTTGGATGTGTCAGGAAATTGTCTTTGCCCCCTTGGAAGCACCTTTCTTTTCTCTTCCATCCTACCTAGAATTCCAACTGAGAATTTTCTTCTGACGTACATAAGCTCATGCCCTACTCTCCATGTCTCCCTATTTATAAACTAGGAAATTTTGCTGGCTATGATTGTGGAGATTGTAAGTTTGGCTGGACTGGCCCCAACTGCAACCAGAAGAAGCCATCAGTTGTTCGGCGGAATATACATTCCCTGACTCTTCAGGAGAGGGAGCAGTTCTTGGGTGCCCTAGACCTGGCAAAGAAGACTGTACATCCCGACTATGTGATCACCACACAGCACTGGCTGGGCCTGCTTGGACCCAATGGAACCCAGCCACAGATCGCCAACTGCAGTGTGTATGACTTCTTTGTGTGGCTCCACTATTACTCTGTCCGAGACACATTATTAGGTGGGTCTTTCAGGTTGGCTTAACAGGCTTTATTAGGGCTTGTGATTGGGTGGGGAGATGGAGTGGGAGGGCATTTGACACAAGTTAATTAACAAAGTAGCGACTTCATGCAGGGTTAAGTTTAGGACAGTAACAGAATTACCAAACACTGCTTGAAGTTAAAATGGGACCGTTTCTTCCTGTTCTACAGATACTTCAAATGTTCCCTCCCCTAACTTATATTCTTGGTTCAAAGTCTGAGCCTAGTTCTCTGTGAAACTATTAATCCTCAAAAGCATGAGTTAGTAAAGTGGAGGTAAATTCCTTTTGATTCTAGAAAAAATTGCAACTTTGGTCATAGAAGCCCTCTCTGACCTTTCCTTCAAATTAGAGAGTTAATTGAACATGTGCCAAGACACAGAGCTTGTCTTTGTACAGAATTACAGTGTCAGTGCTGGAAACGTGCATTTCTTAAGCTCACGCATCTTTAGATGTTCAGTTGGAAGTTCACTTATGGTTTTCAGGCACTGTTAGGAGTCTCCCAGAGTTTCGGAGTTGTGTTGTCAAAGTATAGTATAAGCTAAACTACAACAATGTAGAGTTCTTCCTCCTTAGCCTGTTAAATGATCATGGCTCTGGCTTTGCCAGATGCTTAAGAAGGTGGTGAAATGAAAATGATGCTATGGGATGGTGAGATGGTTTGGTGGGTCAGACACTTGACCTGAGTTCTAGCCCATAAAAGTGGAAGACGGAAGCCAACTCCACAAAGCTGTCCTCCAACCTCTATATATACTCTGTGGCACATGCACCCCACCACATGAAAATCATAATTTTATAAAGTGATGCTTGTGAAATATTGAGGACCTCCCAGGACCTAAAACTTGGGGCCTGAGTAGGACTAGGTATGGCAGGCTGACTGTTACAAATCTCATAGATCAAACAGGTCCAGATTCGTCCTCAGTTACTGATGAGCCGAGAAACCACTGGTTTGTTCTAGGAGAGTTTGAACTCATTCTAGATTCTTCTCATGGCAGTCTGTACACTTGGGTATCCCTGAAGCTGTCTGTGCCTTTGGGTTCCCCGCTTGGGGTCAGGATGGACAAAACTTTGAGCGCATTTGGACTCTCACTACTGTGCTCTGTGTTCATCACAGTTTTTGTTCTTTGACATCTCCTTCATCATGTTGTGTGGAAAGCTTGAAACTTTTCTCTAGATGAAAACATTTTTTAAGAAGCCTCTATGGCCAGCAGCAGTGACAGAAACTCTGCTGTCAGTGTGAGTGTTTTAAAAACCTGCCTCACAGGTAAGCATCCATCTTTCTTTATCGATAGATAAGGAGGCTCTTCTGGCTATAAACCTTTATAGTTTTCCTGTCATCAGTCTGAGGAATTTTTGCTTTATGAGAGGGTAGCCTCTCAAGAGGAAAGGAAAACTATAGTTTCTGGTCCTATGTAGGAATTAAATTTATATTCATGTCTGTTCAGCTCTCTGAAGTTATTACAGGTACTTTGAAAGAGAACTAAAGTGAGCTAAAGTTTCTGCATAACCATCAAAAGCTGTTATGAAAGAGAGAAGAAGGATGGAGAAGGCAGTAAGAAGGGCATTAAATTGCCCAAAGCACTTCACTAAAATTGCAGTTCCAGTGGCCAGCCAAATTGGTGTGAATGTATTTTCCTTTCTTCTGGTCTCAGTGACCATACTTGTTAGCTGGCAGTCCCAGCTGATGGATGGGGGAGGCAGAATCTGTGCGAGCTCTTTTTGGTTATATAAAGGCCGCATAATGACAAAATGTGATTGAAAAGGCTGTATTATTAATTGATTTCTTCTGTATAAATTTATGCAGCTTTAAAGAACAAGTTAGAGCATGTTTTTTTTTTTTTTAAGTATGTTTCATTTAGGTCTTAATGATTGACACTTTTACACAGTATTTCATCTTAATGCATTGTCATCCAAAAATTTAAATATGTATTGGGGCCCTTACTACTGAGACTGGAATTTCCTGGCTTTCTGCTAAAAATCAGACTGGGGAGAGATGGAAGTGACTGCTTCATAAAGAGCTACATGTTGCTGAAATTCTTTTTGTCATTATTGTTATTATTGATTTTGAAGAGATAAATACTTGTTTTAAACTAACACATTGTGGACTTAGGGAATTCAGACAAATTCCTCATAAGGTTTAACATTGTAAACATTCTATTCTGTGATCTTTAATGTTTCCCAATTGTTTTAGGTCCAGGGCGCCCCTATAAAGCCATAGATTTCTCACACCAAGGGCCTGCCTTTGTCACCTGGCACAGATACCATTTGCTGTGGCTGGAAAGAGATCTCCAGGTTGGTTAAAACTACATACTTGCTCTTTAAAACATATACTGCATAAATTTAAGGAGAACCATACCCTATGATGTTTTGATGCACTTATCTCAGTTACTAAGTTAAGTAGTCAAGAAAGCTAACATACGCAGCATCTCTGAGTTCACTTTCTTCTCTGTACGTGTTCAGTCTCTAAAATTAACTCTCTTGATAAAGTACCAGTGCACGATCCAATATTGTGAATTTTTGTCCCTGTGTTGTGCATTGGCTCTCCAGACATCTTCATCTTCATACTCCCCCTCCCCAGTTTCTATGGATTTGATATTTTTGTTCTTTTTCAGACTTCACACATAACAGAGACGATGTGGTATTTTTCTTTCTTTATCTGGTTTATTTCACTTAGCATAAGGTCCTCTAGGTTCTTCTACATTGCCAAACATCAGTATTTCCTTCTTTCTTTATTGAGGATGAGTAATATTGCACTTTGCTATTTATCCATATATGAGATTTGCATGTATAGTAATTGTGCACATATATGGATATATTTTAATTTATTGAAATTTCTTTGACCATATGTTTGATATTCCTAATTTTGCTATAAATTTGACCAAGGAACTCACCAGTCTTTTTCCCTTACATGTCTCCTTGTTGTATCTGACACATACACAAAGTGATGGGACCTACTCTTTGTTTTTAAGAGACTCCTTGGTAACGAATCCTTTGCTTTGCCCTACTGGAACTTCGCAACTGGGAAAAATGAGTGTGATGTGTGCACAGACCAGCTGCTTGGAGCAGGAAGACAAGATGACCCAACTCTGATTAGTCAGAACTCAAGATTCTCCACCTGGGAGATTGTATGTGATAGGTAATGGCATATGTTCTACTGTGGCGCTCCCAAGACTGTTCTCCCTCTGAATGATAAACATTGTATTTATGTTTCTATGGTATATGGGATTATATTTGCATGTTTTTGAAAGAAGTTTTCCCATGGGAGAAAGGAATTTCAAAACTCTAAATTCTTTAATAAAAGAAGCAGAACTCTCAAAATCACATTTGTGAATTGAGTTTGCTTGGCCATCATTTTGAGATCAGCTCTTAAAATCAAGAGCAGTGCTGGCATTCGGCCAACATTTCCTGAGCATCAATCTTATGCTAGGTGATGCAATGTACTGGGAACACAGGGATGCATAAAATGCAGCCGTTTTGTATTTACAGAGATCAATTTGTGGTAAATGAATTACCAAGTGTCTGAGAAGTACTATAATAGGTGTAAGTGTGAAGCCAAGAAGAGAGTCAGGACAAGTCTACAAGGGAGTGGGGCTGATGGTTTTGAGATGGAAGGAGGTATAGACCCCAGCCAGGTATGGGGGAGGGCAGACAGGGTGTGGACAGATGGTAGGTCCTAGGTAGGTGAATATTATGTGTAAAACTAAAGAAGTCTTTAGAAGCAGGTTGCTGTGTCTGGGACACAGTTTGCTGAAAAGTTGTGTGTGTGGGTGGGGGGCAGAAGCATAGATCTTGGGTGGGCTGGGGGGTGGTATGATCTCTTACTTCTTGAAGACCACTTGAGCAGACAAGTGGCCCAGAGTCCTGGAAGAATTCTGTCTTCAAAGTGTCCTTGGACTTGTTTCTCCTTCCAGACACAACGCAGCAGCTGCACCTGAGCTTTGCAGATATATTCCAAGACCCCTGCGTGGGGAATGCCTGACACCCAGATATCTAGAGAGTACCAAACCTATGCACTGTGTTTTTTCCTGCACAGACATATTTATGATAAAGTTTAATTTATAAATTAGACTCAGAAGAGATTAACAATAGCTAATAATAAAATAGAACATTTATAACAGTATACTTGTAGATAATTCTATTTGAAAGTGGTTTCTTTCTTTCAAAATACCTTAATTCGTCAGTGCACTGCAGTAATATTTTCAGATCAGAGCTGACTGCAGGTAACTAACCATGAAAAATAAAACTGTCGATAAGGAGGGGACAACTATGTCTCAGAAAACGATTCTCCTAGAGGCTCCTTTGCCTGCCTTCCTTCATGTCTTCTCCCTCAGATCCCCATGTTTTTAATGGCATGGCTTTGCTTTCTTACCCATTTCATTCCACTGCCCCAGGACACCGAGCTCCGAGTCACCTCTCAGTTCTCTGTTCAGCACTGCACCTGGGCAGGTGTGTGTGCTGAGGGGTCTGACCCAGGAGGTGTTCTGCACCCATCCTGCAGCCCTCACGTCAGGGTTCTACTTGTGGGATATGCTACATATCTTTGTATGTCTTCGCTCATGTGTCACAGTTCCTTAGAGCATCATTTCCCACAATGCCTTGCACTGCTTATAAATGATATGGAAACAAGTTTTTATGATCATCTAAGTTTAGAGAATTCTGAGTTCAAAGGTTTTTTTTTTTTTTTAAAAACTTATAAATGAAATGGAAATAAGTTTTTTTTATTATATAAGTTTAGAAAATTTTGAGTTCAAGGGTTTTTTTTTTTTTTTAAATAAAAATTGGAACATCTCCTAGCCTTCATAGATGAGCATATTATTATTCTTCAAGGAACCTAAATGTGCTCGGCCCTGGGACTCTTACTTCACAGACTGTCTCACTAGAACACACTTTGGGAAATGGTGCCATGGAGGCCTTTTGTTGGCTGATGTTTGGGTTCTGTCCTACCCTGTCCTCATGTGTACTGATTCTATCTCATCTACAAGCTACTTCCCCATCATCCTTTCAAACTCGAGCAGTGTCTTTAAAAATCGGTCTATGACCTAATGCTTTGCTGGACATTCTAGGCAACCATCAGTATGTCTTAGGGGCACAGGATCTTCTCTTGGTCCCACATTTACCACCTGATTATTAATTTCTAACTGTCTTCACATACTTCACAATATTGTGCTTAGTTTTCATTAAAAGTTTTATTTCAGAGGCTGAGAGACAGCTTAGTGGTTCAGAGTGCTTGCTGAGCAATCATGAGGCCTGGGGTTCTGATCCCAGTACCCACATAATAATCTGGGCATCCTAGGCAAGCCTGCAACTCCAGCTCTGAGGGTAGTAGAGACAAGAGGATCACTCGGGCTTGCTGGCTTCTAGCTGAGAAAATGCAAGCCCAGATTTATGCATACCGACACACATGCATACATATGCTCACTGAGATAAATACACACATAAATAAGTAAATGAACTTTTAAAAATTATTTTAATTGTATAAATTATGAAGTATAGAGTGTTAAGTTGATATACATATTCAATGTGTAATAATCAAATTGAGGTATTTAATTCTTTCGTCGCTTTAAATATTAAACATTTTATTACTATAGTTCTTCTGTCTAGTTTTATCTGCTTTTCTGACTTCCTCCATTTGCCTTCAGTTACTCTAAATTCTTTTCCATGTGCTACATGGACAGTCCACACAAACCAGCTTGGCTCAGTATATAGAGGCCATCATTCTGTCCCTTTAATAATATTCGAATCCCTCCAGATTAAAATACAAGATTTTTGATAGATGTCACCTCCTTGTTTTGTTAACCCTGTCACTGTCTTCTCAATAAACAGTTATTTACTCTTCATGTTTTATGCACCCATGTTTATGAAATGTCTCCCTCCATGATTACTTTCAAGGGCAATATTTTTACCACCTGTCTTTTGACCTTTATAAAGTAACTAATGACCACGACCCTCACTGATTTGCTTGGAATAAATTCATGATGATGTCCACAGATTAAGATGTATTGCTTTTAATCCTGTAAATCTTAGCTTGGATGACTACAACCGCCGGGTGACTCTGTGTAATGGAACATATGAAGGTTTACTGAGAAGAAATCAAGTAGGAAGAAACAGTGAGACATTGCCAACCTTGAAAAATGTGCAAGACTGCTTGTCCCTGCAGAATTTCGACAACCCACCTTTTTTCCAGAACTCTACCTTCAGCTTTAGGTAGGCACTGCCCCGTGCTCTTCTACAATACCATTAGACTCTCGTACTTGTAGCTGTAGTGGGACAGAAAGAAATCCAGATGTTGGGAGACACCTACAAAGCTAAGTAGTGGAAAAAGACTTAAAAACCAAGGGACTGATGGTAGGAAAGTCTTCAACCACACCTTATTACCAATAGCATAGCTTCATTAGCTTTTCAAAGACATTCTAACTCTGGTTTCTGTATATATAAAGGTATTATCTTTGGAATTAAGTCATCCCATTAACTATCGTACTTTACCCATACTTATTATTATTTTCTTGACTGTTGAATTAACATTAATTGCTTATCAGTTACAGATCTTTTTGAATTTATTATTTAATATTTTTGTGTATGAGTGTATTTTCTGCATGTATGCAAATGCACTCACATCGTACAATGCCTGTAAGAGGTCAGAAGAGGATGTTGGATTCCCCAGAGTTGCTGACAGTTGTTAACCACCATGTGGGTGCTTTGAAACCAGGTTTTCTGCAGGAGTAGCCAGTGCTCTTAACCACTGAGTAATCTCTCCAGCCCTCAATTCTTTTTTATTTATTTATTTTTGTTTTATGTGTATGCATGTATTGCCTGCATGTATGTACCCATGTCATGCAGTCCCCGTGGAGGACAGAAGAAGGTGTCGGATACCCTGGAACTGGAGTTACAGATGGTTGTTAGAAGCCATGTGGGTGCTGGGATTTGAACACGGGTCTTCTGCAAGAATAACCAGTGCTCTTAACCACTGAATCATCTCTCCAGCCCTCAGTTACAGCTCTTAATACTCTTAATCTGAGCTTTTTTTTTAGATTTTCAAATTACTGCACAGCAATGATAGTCTGATACTTGCAACCTAAAGATCAACTATTATTTTTTCTCACATCCCAAAAGATTTTAAGAATTATGAGGACTATGTATAGAAAGGGACGGTAATTTTCTCCAAAACTGGATTTATAGGTTTATATTCATTCTCTCTCTCTCTCTCTCTCTCTCTCTCTCTCTCTCTCTCTCGACTGGATTTCACAATGTAACCCAGGCTGACTTCAAATCTATAACTCCAGTTCCAGGGGATCCTACAGTCTCTTCTGTCCTCTGCAGGCATTGCACGACACAGGTGCACTTACCTACATGCAGGCAATACATGAATACACATAAAATAAAAACAATAAAATATTTTTTTAAAATTACATAACTTATGTAGAACTAAAGGCAGGGTAGACTGAACTTAAGTGCAGTTGTTGTGTTAAATGTAGCAGGTCTTGCAGTTGGTGCGTGAACACACCCTCAGAGTAGTGTCAAAGGTAGGTAACGTAAGTAGTGTCAAAGAAGTGTAAAGGGCAACACTAAAGACTGTTTTTTAAAAGGAGTATGCATTAGTTATTCCTTATGATAAAGATACTATTAAACTAGATTTGAGTTGAGAGAGAATGGGCCTTAAAATGTGATTCTCAGACCACCATCGTTGGCATCATTTGAAAGTTGGTTAGTTAGGACTGGAGAGATGGCTCAGCAGTTGAGTACTGGCTGCTCTTGCAGAGGACTGGGGTTAGGTTCCCTGCACCCACATGGTGGTTAACAACAAGCTGTAACTCTAGTTCCGGGGATCTGACACTCTCTTCTGGTCTCTGTGGGCATTGCATACATGTGGTACACTTACATATGTGTAGGAAAAACACTCATGCATATAAAATATTTTTTTAAAAAAAGGCAGTTGGTTGAGAATATACATTGTTGGGGCTAGAAGAGATGGCTCAGTGGTTGAGAGCACTGACTGCAGAGGACCTGGGTTCAATTCCCAGCACCCACATGGTGGCTGGCAACCGTCCGTAACTCCAGTTCCAGGGGAATCCAACACCCTCTTCTGACTCTATGGGCATTGCATGACATGGGTGCACTTACACACATATGGAGAATACACTCATACACATAAAATAAAAATAATAAATAAAATGTTTTTTTAAAAAAGAATGTACATTGTTAGGATCCAGTCCATACTTACTGAATCAGAAACTCTAGGAATGGAACATGAAATTTTTTTCTGGTTATTCTAAAGTATGCTTAGTTTTGAATATCACTGTGTTGGGGCATAGATAATTAGAAATTCTTAAAGATGGGAGGGTGAACAGAGAGGAAAGGGGGTCGTTGGGGTATATTTAGAATGGTAATGCCTTATAGTTAAATGTATATTTCACTGACAGATATGAATATAAGACCATATGTTGATTCAAAATTATTTATTGATCACAGACCATGTTCTGGGCAGGACACAGAGCGCTGGTAATAAAAATAGGAAGAAAACACAGAATCTGTCCTTCAAGGGCATAGGGAAACAGGTATTAAGCTAAATAATTGTTATACAGTACACTAAAGTGAACAGTTTAACCCAGCAGGTACAAAAGTAACAGTGACTAAAAATTCCTTCCTTTTTTAATTAAAAAATGGTTTTATTTATTTTATTTTAATTTTATTTATATGAGTGTTTTGCTTGCATATAAATGTACCACATGCATGCAATGCCTGAAAATGCCAGTAGAAGGCATTGGATCCCCTGGAACTGAAGTGAGGAACTGTCGTTAGCTGCCATGTGGAAGCTGGTTACTGAACCCAGGTCCTCTGGAAGAGCAGTCGCTCCCTACCCCCAGTTCCCTTCTTTTATAATAGAAGGTTGTCATTGAAGGTTTACACTAACTCTGGCTCAATCAGGGAAAACAGAACTCCACATCCTTATCTAAATCTTAGATTAGAAGATGGTTGTCTGGGATAGAAAATGCAGAGACTTTGTCAGTTTTTAACTGATGTTACTGATATGCCATTTCTCTCAGGAATGCCCTGGAAGGGTTTGATAAAGCAGATGGAACACTGGACTCTCAAGTTATGAGCCTTCATAATTTGGTTCACTCCTTCCTGAACGGAACGAATGCTTTGCCACACTCTGCTGCCAACGATCCTGTTTTTGTGGTATGTTCAGAGACACAGAGTAGATTGAAAAAAAACACCAACAACGTTCTAAATAATATACTGATTTGCTTGCTTTTCAGTTTGCTGATACTTCACTCTCTGGGTGAACAGTGTGATCTATGCACATATATGGATTTTAGTCTGTACCTGGAGGATGGCTAGCTAATGTATAAAGTCCCCACTCAGAAACCAATCCTTCAGGGATAGTTGGCTTTTAGATGACCTTAAGTAGGAGTAAACAGTCCAGAAAGGAGTCACAAGTTGGCAGAATGTTATCATAATTTAACAAACTGTCTACCATAAATTGGCATAACTATAAATCATTTTTCATTGGCAAATGAGTGGTGTTGAAAGTGTGAAGTCCACACAAACCAGCTTTCACGATTTGCCTGCAGGAAAGAAAGATTCTGGTAGCCAGAAAAAAGGAGGAAAAGGAAGGCTGGCAAGTGGTACCCACAAACACTTCCAACAACAATGACATGAAACACACATTTGTGTCACTTACTTTATTTGGCTTCATGCTTCTGTGATAGAAGACAATCAGTTGAGAGAATTAGCACTGACAAGGGCAGGACCCTCTTGGTTCTTCCGCATTCTAAATATAACAAAGTCCTTTGAGAAATTTGATTTTAGTCTCATTTAAAAACTAAAGGAAATTTGACAGTACTTGACAGTGGGATTACTACTTTTAGAATTCCAAGCTGCACTAACTTTCAAGATAGGTTTGCTGGGGTCTGGAGAGATGGCTCAGTGGTTAAGAGCACTGGCTGCTCTTGCAGAGGACCTGGGTTAGGCTCCCAGCACCCACATGGCTGCTAACAACCAACGGCAACTCCAGTTCCAGGGGATCCAACGCCCTCTTATGACCTCCTTGGGCACTGCATGACACGAGTACACTTACATACATGCAGGCAATACAGTCATACACATAAAATAAAAAATACGTATTTTTTAAAAAGATAGATTTGCCAAGGGGTTGTCTTGAGACAACTAAACTGGAGAATGTTCTAGTTGGGGCCAGAGTATTCAGCTGTCTACAGTGAATGCCCTCTAGTCAAAGGCTTCTGGGAACATAGATAGCTCTAAAGCTCTAAACCTTTTCTGTGGCCAACCATGGTCTGGAAGAAGAGGAAGAATGACTGGCTCAATAAAATATTTTCCATTTTATTATAGTGCATTATTTTTGTTTTTCTGTTTTATTAGTTGTTAATCTTTTATAATGCCTGCTTTATAAATTAAACTTTATTATAGGCATGCATACAGAGGAAATAACATAGTATATATGAGGTTTGTTACTACCTGTGGGGTTGGAGTATGATGCTTGTTTCTTTCTACCATATATGAACACATTGGGTTTATAACTTCTTATATGGAGAGAAGGGAGGATAGTGGAGAGTCTGGACCAATGAGTGTTACAAAAGACTTTCAGACTTTGGGTTTGTGCCAGGTGACTTGTGGGAAGAAGTAGGGGAGTTTTGCTCTGGGTCAATGCTGTCAGGAAGCTGGGGCAACTTTATGATTGGGTACCCAAAGCTCTAATTCACAGGAAGGCCAGGCTAGACACAGGTTACTAGTAAAGGTGCAGCATTGCTCATACTAGCCAGCAAAGGGGATGTTGGATATTCTGTCTATGCTCAGCCATGGCTATGGGGTTGTCTTGCTTTGGTCCTGATCTCATCACATAGGGCCCTGCCTGATGTGGATGTTCCATGGAATTGTTTATGTCTGTTAGAGCACATCCAGACCTGGCTGACAGCACCAGGCCAGTTTCTGGGTGTTGGGGCGGCTCTTTTTTTCCTCCACTAATGTTAGCTGAGAAGACTTACACATGAACACTGGTTCTCAACTGCTGACCTCCAACAAGGGTTTGAAGACACTTAGCTCATATTATTTACATACTGTCTTCAGAGCTCTTTTCTTAGGTAGATGGTTTGGAAGCCATTATAGGAAAAAAATGTTGCCTTTTTCCCTTTTGATTTTATTTTGATAGCATTCGAGTTTAGATTCTCCCAGAATTTTCCTCACCTCAGTGTGAACTTTATCAATGTGTCTTAGTTTGCTCAGATATTTGTAATAACATAACCCAGAGTGGCTTGAACAATAGCCGCTGTGCTGAAGGGTCAGCAGTCTGTAAACAAGATGCCAGTCTGTTTACCATAAGGTGGAGGCTCCAGTGTTAGTTGCTTTTCTCATTGCTGTGAACAAAATATCTGGCAAGAAGCAAGAAAAGGAGGAAGGGTTTATTTTGGCTTACAGTACGAGGGGAATACACTTGATCATGGTGGGGAACGCATGCCAGCAAGAATGAGAGGCTGTTGGTCACATTGCATCACAGTTAGGAAGTAGAGATTGAACAGAAAGTAGGGCATAGCTATAAAACCTCATAGCTCTCCCAGTGACCCACTTCTTCCAGCAAGGCTCCATCTCCTAAAGGTTCCATCAAACTGTCCTAAATAGTGCCACTAGCACTAGGTTGACTAGGTGTTCAAACACATGAACCTACAGGGACATTTCATATTCTAACCACAACGGCTTTCTTACTGAGCTTCCCTGCTGTGACCTTGAGTGATGGAGAAAGAGAGAAGGATGAAGCCCCCCTGAGTCACTTCTTAGAAGGACACTAATCCTGTCATATCAGGGGCTCACCGTTAAGACCTCAATAAACCTTAATTATCTCCTTACAGGTCCCATAATGTGCCTAACTGTAGGCACATTAATGGGGGAAAGCATTAACACAGGAACTTGAGAGGTCTGTTCAATTCACAACACCATCAGTTTGTAGAGGTTTGTTTTGTCGACCTGGGATGCTATGGAACGCTGTAAAAAGGACACTGGATTCCCAAGTCAAGTTGATTTTACTTAGCCCTAACTTGCTGTTTCTTGAGAGTATCACTGAACAATGTGGGCTCTCTGTTTCCCACTTTGAAGGTTGCATGATTTGATCTTGTGTTGAGAAAAGTTCTGTGCTTATTAGAGTGACTCTACGTCAAGGTAATATGACAATGCTCCAGAAACTGCCAAGGATAATTTGAATGTTATCATAAAAATAATGTTTTCTGTGGGAGAGAATTAGAGAACCATGTGTTGTGTTTGAATTCTAAACCTTAATTGAGGTTCCTTATCTTGTTCAACATAAGCAGACAGTTGTGCCCTAAGGCAACTGACAGACAAGCATGGAGTCAGAGGGATTTCAAGGGTGATTTATTGTCCTTTGCTGGACCTACATACAGAATAGAAAATGTGAGTAAAGGTAGAGTTTTCAAGGACCTTCGCCTTGCCTGGTCGTGTGAATGATGGATGGAGTCTCCCAGGACTGAACAGAGTTCTCAGGCTTCCAGACTTATTCAAGTATGGTCAAGATGAGCTTCAGGACATCTTGAGGTGAAAGGAGGTAGTGGGGATGATACTACCTTCTAGAAATTGCTTCTCTTCTCATATCTGTGTATCAGAAATACATGATGGAGTTTTTAGGGGTGTAGATGGTGGGGGCCTCAGGCTCCAACTAGGTGGGGACTCTTCTGTGAGGCCTCCACAGCTGCCTTTGCTGTCTCCACAGTGCCTTCTTGTTCAAGGCCCCTGTCTTCACATTTCAGATCACTTTCCTGTGCCACCTCAGCTATCAGCTCCTGTCTAGGTTTCTGCTGTTTCCCTTTTCTGCTCTTCATCTGAACTATATGTCTCTAAAAATGTTTCTATTAAAGTATGTATTTTATATCGCTTTTATGTACTGTATCATTTGTACACACAACTATGTCATTTGTACATATAATGCCTATTCACAAGGATAGTGTCACAATATCTCTTACCAATGTTTCAAAATATTATGAGTAGAATCGTGGGATTCTCTGACAAATTGAGGAGGATATCCCAGACCTCCCTCTCCTCCTAAAGGAAATAATAGCAATGCTGATAGCTTGGTTGTCAGTAGAACTGCTATTGCCTTTAAAGGAAGCCCTCTAAAGTCCATTAAAGCCCACTCACAAAGACTGGCCACATTTTTCTGTAAGAGGTCTGACAGAAAAGATTCTGAGCATTCTGGGCCAGAGAGTCTCAGTTACTCAAGTCTCCCTCCGTCCCTCCATCCTTCCATCCCTCCATCCTACGGTCCCTCCTTCCCTCCTTCCCCTCCTCTTCCCTTCCTCCCTCCCTCCTTCCCTCCCTCCCTCTTCCCTTCCTCCCTCCCTCCCTTCCTTCCTTCCTTCCTTCTTTCCTTTCCCTTCCTCCCCCTCCCTCCCTTCCTCCCTTTCTCTCTCTCTTGCTCTTTCCCTCCCTCCCTCCCTCTCTCTTCTTTCTTTCTTTCTTTCTTTCTTTCTTTCTTTCTTTCTTTCTTTCTTTTCTTTCTTTCCAGTACTAGGAATTAAGTCAAGAGCCTTATGCATGCTGGCAAGTACTGTATCACTGTATCCCTACCTCTCAGTTCTTTCACCATATCATGAAAGCAACCATAGACAATGTACAAACTGAAGAGTGTGGTGTACCAATAACATTTATTTAGAAAAACAGGTAGTGGGCCAATGCAGTGTGTGTGTGTGTGTGTGTGTGTGTGTGTGTGTGTGTGTGTGTGTACCTTATTTTACTTAGTACAATAAGTTTAGGTTTTACTTTGCCTGACCCTAATCTAATGGAGTAGTTTTCTTCCTTTGCAGTAGGGTTATAAGGTATAAACCCCTCTTTCTTTCTCTCACTTTTTTTTTTTTTTTTTTTTTTTTGGAGACAAGGTCTTCCTGTAGCCCCAGGTAGCTTGGAATTCACTATAGACCAGGCTGGCTTCAAACTCACAGAACTCTGCCTGCCTTTGCCTCTGTAGTGCTGGGATTAAAGGTGAGTGCCACCAAACCTGGCCCACATTTTGTTTTGAGATAGGGTCTCACTGTGTTGCCCAGGGTGGTCTTGAACTTGTAATCTTTCTGACTCATCTCCTGGGATATCTCTTAAGTCATAGTTTCTTCCTGTCCTAGATGAGATCCCACATTATGACTTTATTAATGAAGAATGCTGTAATTTATATCTAATTCAAAGATAATAGAGGGTGTCTTTGTTGTCATTACTTTTAATACCTTCCATTTTTAAAATTTTGTGTTTTTTTGGTAATAAGTTAATATATACATATGAAAATAAAAAACAAAGCAAAAGAGCCACAGCCTTTCTTTGAAGACAGAGGGAATAACATCTTGGCACTGATTTCACAGCACACATTTTCTTCAGGCTATTTACAAAGAGTTTTATGTTGAAGCCAATTCAGCTTTAAATGATTTTTTGCATATTGAAATTTAGGTTAAACTATTTTAGTTAACAGAGTTAGAGCTTCAGGAATTTCAAATCGGTGAGGCCATTTGTGCAAATATATTGCATAGAGCTTTTATTAAAATTATTTTGTGAAATCTCTTCAAGCAAGAGAAGTTGTGTATGATCACAATAGAGAGTAAAAGGAGGCAGAACGCTGAAGCAGAGAAGCAATCTCTGAAATCCTAATCATTCCTGTGATAGTTCAAGCAAATGCACACATTTATCATGGAAAATGAGGTTAGACCACAGGAATGCTAAGCATTGCTGCCTTCTGTATTAAATTTAGATATAGCCCAGAAATATTTTTAAAAAGAAGAGGAAGCCAAGAGACTATAAAGTTAACCAGTAACTACTAAGAAAGCAGCTGTGTTGGAGGTGAGTGATGTTCTCCCTAATTCCTCAAGATGCTCTTCGGGAGCATATTTGAATGGGATCCTACAGTCTTTGTCTTTCCGTGCTTGGCTTAATCCACCTGGTATAATGTGCCTAGGTTCACCTGTGTTGTCAAGAAAGAACAGATTATCATTACTAATTCAACAGAAGCTGGCCATAGTGTTGCATGCCTGTAATCTCAGCACTCAGGAAGTGGAGGAAGGAGTTTAAGGTCATCGTTGATTACATAGTGATTGCAGATCTAGCCTGTGCTACATGAGATTTTGTCTCAAAGAAAAAAAGGAAACAAAGCAAAACAAATTAAAAATAACTAAAGAGTCTTCCACTGTGTATGTGTTCCACTTTTAACTTTATATTTTGAGAAACGGTATATATGGTTTAGGGAATCAAATCTAAGTTTACATGCATGCTAGGCAAGCACTCTGCCAACTGAGCCTTGAACCACTTTTTGTTTTTGTTTTTGTCTGTTTGAGGCAGGGTCTTCCTGTAGCCCCAGCTGGCCTGGATTCGCTATGGAGACCAGGCTAGCCTCGAACTCAGAGATCCGCTTGCCTCTGCCTCCCTCCTGGGATTAAAGGCCTGGGCCACCACCAGCCTTGAACCACTTTTTTTTTTTTTTTTTTCGTCGTTTGGAGACAGGATCTCCCTGTAGCCCCAGCTGTCCTGGAACTCACTATGTAGGCCTTGAACTCACAGAGATCCGCCTGCCTCTGCTTCCTGATTAAAGGCATGTGCCACCACGCCCAACTCACTTTTTAAAATCAATTCCTCTGTTCTATTGTTGGATAGGCGTGTCCTCCCAGCAAACCAGTAGCAGCAGCTGAAGGTCTGAACCCTAAGTGATCCTGTAGACGGAGGGGCAGACAGGCAGACAGTCACCCCTCCCATCCAATCAGTCAGCTTCAATTGCATGAGGGGGAGGGTCTAAGGACAGATGCGAAGAAGCTGGGAAATAGCAGGAAGTTGCCATCTTGGTGGAGCACGGGTACAGGTGGTGGCGGATCTCACAAAGCTCAGCTGAGATGTAGGGGAAAGAGCCCATGAATGTATGCCTTTGTAAGTAACTCTCTTTCAGACATCATAAACTTTATGCAAAACCACAAATAGAATGCATGGTCAGTTTTGTGGGTCAGGTTAGGACAGTGTGGGCCTGGGAGCCAGGAGAGTGCGTGGGTCTCCCTGGAGAGAATTTGGCGTTACATGTATACTTAGGTTGACTCCCTGTCTTGGTTATTGTGAATAGCGTTATGAGAAACACGAGAGTGCAAATATGTATCTCCTTTCTATTTAAACCCACTGGTAACATTTGTAGGTCCCATGGCACTCCTATTTTTAATTTTTGAGTAACGGTCTGCACTGTTTTTCATAATGGCTCTACTAATGTTACACCAACAGTGCGCCAGGTCCCCCTTTTTCATGTCCTCACTGGCCCTCTTATCCTTGTCTTTTTGGTGATAGTCCTCTGACTGGATGGAGGTGGCATTTCTTTGTGACTTTTGTGTTATACTTTTTGAATATATATGTGGGGACCAGGAGTTGACTAGTTAATACCAGATAGCTGGTGTGATTGTTTTCCTCTGTATACATTAAAATTCTCAATGGATTGAGATCCAAAAGTGGTCTTATTACCGTGTGTGTGTGTGGATATGTGTGGGTGCATATGTGAGTGGAGACCAGAGATTAACATACAGTGTCTTCCTCAATCACTTACCACCTTATTTTTTGAGACAGGGTTTCTCGCTGAGCCTGGAGCTCACTGATTCAGGTAGGCTGGCTGTCCAGCAGGCCTCTGGATTCACCTGTTTGTACCTCCCCAGTGCTGGGATTACAGGTGTGCACACCACAGCTCCTGACTTTTTATGTGGGTGTTGGGGATTTGAACTCAGGTCCTTGTGCTTATCCACAAGCCATCTCCCCAGCACCTCCATTTTATTTCTTAACAATGGCCATCTTTGGAGAGTATAGATCCATTCATTTTGGAATATACAGCAAGAGAAAACAACTTCTAAGCATTAATAGCTAATGGATTACCCTGTTAGCCCGGTAAGACTACATCTGAGGCTACTGTTCTAAGGAAATTAAAAGATCTTAATAATAAGTATAAAATACTTCTGAACTTGTATGAGTTCAGTTGAAAATTTTCAAAGTTTAAGATGTTGCATGTTCCTATCCAAAACTGAAGGACTTGAAAACAGATCCACTTTATTTAAATAACAAGAATCATATTTAGACTGATATTTTTGAAGTTAAAACATTGTTTTATATCAAAGTTTAATTTTTAGTGGGTTAGATGGTTTTTATATAGTTTGTGATTACAGAAAAGTTGATATAAAAGCTTGTGGGACAGTGTATGCATGTGTGTGAATGTATGCACCCATGCATATGCGTGTGGAGATCAGAAGTTGACATTGGGTGTCTTTATCTCTCGCCACTTTATTTTTTTTGAGGCATGATCTCTAGCTGAACCTGGAGTCCCAGAATCTGTCTCTACTTCCCCAGTGCTAGGTTACAGACACAGAGCACTATGCTTCGCTTTTTACAATGGTGTTGGGAATCCAAATTCAAGTCCTCATGTTTGTATAGTATGTGCTTTACTCACTGAGCCATCTCTCCAGCCTGAGAAAGCTTTAAAATGCTCACAATTTCATTTCATTTTTACAATTTTTTAATTTTTATTTATTTGTTATTTATTTATTTAATTTTATGTGTATGACTGTTTTGCCTGTTGTCCTAGTTTGTCTCTCCATTGCTATGACAAAACACGCTGACCAATACCAACTTGGGGAGGAAAGGGTTTATTCAGCTTACATCTCCCAAATCACAGTTCATCAGGGAACCAACGTAGGAACTTGGGGCAGGAACTTAGAAGGAGGAGGAATGCTGTTTACTGGCTTTGCTCCCCTGGCCCATGCTTAACCTGTTTTTCTAATACAATGGCCCCTGCTCGGCCTGCTTTCTTATGCAACACAGGCCTTCCCACATCACTCAACAATCAGGAAGATGCCCCACAGACATGGCCACAGGCCAGTCCTATGGAAGCAATTCCCCAATTGAGGCTCCCTCAACCCAGGTGTGTCAAGTTGACACTAAAGCTATCTAGCACACCTGTATGTATGGAAGTGCACCTGTGTCATGCTATGCCTTCAGAGGCCAGAAGAAGGTATAGGGTCCCCTAGAATTGGTTACAGACAGTTGCTAGCCACTATGTGAGTGCCTGGGTCCTCTGCATAACAGCCAGTGCTCTTAACCAGTGGGCCATCTCTCTAGGCCCCAATTTATTTATTTTTAAAATTTTACATGTATATATGTGTGCCTGTGTAAATTTACATGTGACATGTATATGGAGTGCCCACAGAGGGCAGAAGAGGATGCCAGATCCCCTGAAACTGGGGTTATAGGCAGTTATGAGCCACCTGATGTGGGTGTTGGGAACTGAGCCTGGGTCCTCTGCAAGAGCAGTAAGTTCTCTTAACCACTGAGCCATCTTTCTAGCCCCCTGTTTCAACTTTTATACTTTCATGGTTTCAAGTTGTATACAGTTGCAATTATAAGTTATATATTATATACACTATCCTATTTTTGCTTAGTTTACTTTATTATAAGGCTGTTGCATATTTTCCTAACTTTTTAATTCCATTTGGTGCTGGGAATTGAAGGCAGGGTATCATGAGTACTAATCATATGCTTTGCCCTCCTTAAATGTTTAAATCTTAAAATTAATAATGTACATAAGAGGATCATGATGGAAAAATACCCAAATGAAGTCCTTGGTATCTTCTAGCCACCTATAATCCTTTTTCTCTAGATATAGTTTATAAACATAGGAGTAAATAGGTTTACATATTTAAATACATGGAAATATGCTGTAGATTTTCATCTTCTCTCCCCCTTCCTTTTCTTTCCTTCCTTCCTTCCTTCCTTCCTTCCTTCCTTCCTTCCTTCCTTCCTTCCTTCCTTCCTTCCTTCCCCTTCCCTTTCCCTCCCTTCCCATGTCACTAATGTATCCCTTCATAAAAGGTATTCTCATTTCCTTTCCTGGTTATTTGAATGGATTTATCCAGAAATTTTTAGCTAGTGTCCCCTAGATGGGCATTGTCTTAGTCCTCTCCCATTAGGGAGTGTACCGTGCTCCCTCACTATCGGGAAAAGAGTGCTGTCCACTCATGAAGCAGATCCCTCGTGACCTAGTCACTCAAAATTACCACTACCTTTCAGTACCTTTACACTGGGAATTAAATATCAACATGAATTTTGGCGGGGACAAACCACATTGAAGCTATAGCAGGCATTTAGCAGTTTCTAATCTTTTGCTTTACAAATAATAGTATGACAGATAACCTAGAATATGTAAGATAAGCAGATAGGGTAGAACCCCTGGTTAAAGGTGGATAAATGCATTTGACATTTGATAGACATTGCTGAATTTTTTCTGAAAGGCTGAAGACAATTTCTCTTAACACCTACATGGCAGTCACCTTCTTCCCTGTGGCCACCATGTTCTTTGTCCCTGTACTAGCCCACCTCTTCCTCTTTGCCACTTTGGCAGGTAAAAAATTTTCTTTTGCATTCCTTTTCTTATAAAAGAAGCGCTACATCTTTCCTACACATTTCAAAATCTTGCTTGCATTTGCTTTTATGTGATCTGTAGATAATGACTTCTGGAAAATTAGAAAAAGGAAAAAAAAAAAAACCACACCCACGTAGCCAATGGAATCAGAATCAATGAGAGTGAGCTAACACATTGTAACATCCTTTTTTATATTTTGTTTTTATGAAACCTAATATAGTTGTGTAAAATGTATTATTATTGTTAAGTTTATGAGAAGCTAGTGTTGTTGCGGACATTACATATAACCCAACTTACATGCTTACATGCTTAATGAATTTTTGTTAGGGTCTGGAGGTTAGGTCATTAGTACAGTATGTGACTAGCTCATTTGAGGTCCTAGACTCAGTCCTCTGCATTTTTTCCAACTTTTTTTTTGGTTGTTATTAAGAAGCTGTTAAAGCCATCATGGTGGCACACACCTTTAATCTCAGTACTTGGGAGGCCGAGGCAGGAAGATTTCTGTGAGACTGAGGCCAGCCTGGTCTACATAGTGAGTTCCAGGCTAGCTGGGGCTACAGGGAGACCTTGTCCAGAAAAAAAAAGAAGCTGTTATATTATTCAGTGACAGCCCCTATTCCAGGGTGTTAATGCAAGCATAATCTTTTAACCTCATAAAGCTCTTTATGATAAATTACTTGAAATATGGAGAAAGTAAAATTCAGAGAAGCTAAGAAGATGCTTACCAAGTGGAAAGAGCCTGATCAACGAGTGCAGGAAA